TGCGTGTTTTTGTCCCCCGGTGGGAGACATCGGAACCGGATATGACGTATTGAATTTTTCACATTATTCGTAAATAAGAGGTAGGTTATAAACATACTTTCCATTTTCTGGTTTGTTTAACAAGGAACTGACCTGGACCTTACTGAAAAACGCATCAATGATCTTAATGTCGCACTATATAAACCTAAATTTAAGTTACATCTAAGATCATCTATGAAATATTTAAATTATACATCTGCTTCTGTTTCCCCCAGAGTGCATTGCGGTACTCTGTATGTTATGCGGTAACAAGGAACGACAACTCTCTTATGGACTGTTACGTGCTTACACATTTGTACGTGTAGGTACGTATACATACGTGCGTTCGTGAACGTAAGCGATACGCATGGGTATCAAACATCATTCAAAAAAGTATACCAGCCTAAATGACCTGGATACTTTGTATGTAAAGTTAAGTTATGACGGAAATGTGGCCACAGCTAGCTCCTACTCAAGTCAACACTCCATACATAGAAATTTTATCCGGACCAATATATCAAACATCACTGTGAAGAGGTTAATAAACAACGGACATGCGTACATGCACCTTTTGGCACGGTTTTTAATGAGTAACAAATTAGATCAAATTATAACCACTAATTTTTCCGCCATTCTCCGGTGACAGAATGGCGGGGAATAATGATGATAGATGAAGTGTTTGGGTAGACACGGAGAGAACGATTATGTGGGCCCCGGTCGTTGTGTGCTTTTCCCGTGTACCCCGGGTTGATGCAGTCATTTATCAAACCGTATAGAGTAGCGAGGCAACAGAGAATGTCATGGTTGTTTACACACCTCTCGCGCGGGATAATTTAGAAACCTGTAAACCTAAGTTAACGATCACAACCTGCGCCCGCTAAAAGAGCGTAAACGTCGGGACAATCTTGATAAACATGTTTTCTAGTTTATTGTAATACGCGCACGCGCGCGTCGCGTGCAAAATAACAAATAGAGGTCAGTATGGCCTATTATAAATCACATGTTTGTATCTTGTATACATGAGAACGGGAAAAATTGTTAATAAATAATATTTGGACCATGCACTAGAGAGTGAAATATCAGAAGAAAGAACAACTATTTATACATTTATAATATGTAGTTCATGGATTTCCTATTTCATATACTACACAGAATCGGTGAAAAAAAAATCCCTGTCATGTTGATGAAGTCATTTCAACAGGAAAAAGAATGAAAGAAACTAAAAGGAACTAGTTTTATCGAAAATAATTCAAACCGCACAGGTATGAACGTCTATTTGAAACTTTGTAGGCATATGTGGGTGTTCATAGGAAAAGAGATAGGTACGTTGGCTGATTTGCGCCATTTCGTTATTTCGTCTTTACTCGCGAACGAAAAGACGAGAATCAATATTTGTTAATTCCTAGTCTTCTAACCCGAAAAGACGAAAGAAAGAGAATTTCGATTTTTGACTCTCGTCTTCTCGCGTCGAAAAGAGGAAGGAAGGCGAAATGGCACAAATTAGACACCGTAGACTTGGGATTTTTTGTAGGTCTGGACTTATATAAAGGGAAATTAGAAAACGGATCGCGGAAAGTCTAATTATAGTGTAAAACACCAAAAACAATCGTTTTATTACAGATTGATTTTAATGTTTGAATTAACATTGTTTCCAAGTAGATGTCGCTTTTTTTGTTCAGTGAACAAACGCGTTGTTAACCATTACAGTGTATTAGTGTAAGATTACACGGTAAATTCTTTACATTGGACCTTACTGATATTCCGCAAGTTGCAATAAGACAGACCGCATTAACTTTTCAAAGTATTTCAGTTCAAACTAAAGGAAGAAATAACCTGCATCACATTAACCTGTATTACATGTGCCTAATACAGGAATTGTATATTAACTAACGTACATGAGCATTATCTTGTAAAGCTGATCTCTCACCGCTCCTATTGTATACTTGGAAATAATTTTAGGATTATGAATAGGATAATATACATTATATTTGTAAAATCACGAATTTAAAGAATAGATAAAAGATTGGCGTGTGTGACTGGAAGCATCATCTTTACGAATCTGATTAGCAATAGTCTCCTTTGACACTGCCTGATTTTTGTTCTTTAGTTTAATGAGCGTCCTTGAGAGGAAGGTTATGGGTTCTGTTCCCAGGTCGAGACATACGAGCATCTCTATAAAGGCAGTTGTTACTCCTGCTCAATGTTCAGCAAGTTGGGAGTGTCACGATTGGTTTGTCCGTTGTTAGTGTAATGTGAAGGAATGCCTTACTGGATGTCTGAGGAAGTATAGTTCAGTGAGGTAGCACTATAAAGTCGGCACCAGTTCCGCACTTTCAAAAGAAGACAAACACGAATGTACTTGTACCGCAGCGTTCCAAATCACACATGTAAGCAGCTCTGACACAGGTGAGGTCGTCCTGCAATGATCGTGACTGCTAAAAGAACAGTAAGAACAGACATGCTTTCCTTCCTGTGACTTATTGTTGATCACGTTTTTCAATCCAACCCGACCTTGTCCTGCATTTCTTCTTTTCTTTGATTACTTAAATTTCTGCGGTTCTCAGTGTACCACCAAGAACCGCTTTTTTATTGTGTTAATAAACTACAATAGTTTTACTGCCCAAGCTCGTGTTTAAATCAATTGCCGCGAGATTAATCTCGCAATGGGGGTCACACTTTAACTTAAAATTTTACATTCCAAAACATTTTGGGTTATTCTTTTGTTCTTGAACGCCATAAATTTTGTATAGTGTTATGTTTACGTTAATGGTGCCATGTTGTTAATTACAGTATAGCCGAACGCTGAATATCTTATCATCCTTATCCGTCGTTATTTATAATAACTCTCCGATTCAATTATCATAACCACTGAGTAATATATTATATAAATATTGTGAAGAGAGCTGAATGCATTGGCAATACATTGGGGATATTGTATGTTGTTATGAAGGGGACTGAATATATTGGGGACTTTAAACGTTTGATTTTTTTTGCAGTATCATATACATGTATGTCATAGCGATCTTACATTTGTCACTACAAGGGAAGCTTTCGTTTCTTTAGATGTTTGTTTAATCCGATTTGTGGGTTATACTTGACGGCATAGAATCTCATAATGCTTCCTTATTAAGTGTCGATGTGATATGGAAATTATGTAAAGGTGCATGACATAACAAATTATTTTAACTAGGTTAATATAGTCAAGGTTACAAAGGTACGAATGTAAGATTCTATTCATCATGTAATTGTAATCTAACCAAACAATTAACAAACTATGGAGCTAGAAAACTATTCTTCAATGTCGTCTTATAAATCGAGCGAGCACTCCTAATTATGATATTTTCAGAGCAAATCTTATAAGAGTCCCCCGAGTGTCAATATGGACATCCCTGTGAAGATTCTTATCATTTCTTTTTGACTTGTCCTTTATATGATAATTTCCGAAATGCGCTAAACGGAGAAATAGCATGGTACGACGGGGATATAAATGTTGACATGTTCTGTAAAGGTTATCCCAATATCTTACTTAAAGACAATATGAAAGATTGTGAAATATATATATGTGTATATATGTATGTAAGGAGAGGTCACTATTGTACTTCTACCATTTACATATTTTCATGTTTATAGTATAAATATGTGTTACGTGCGGTATATTTGTAATTTATTTTATAGAGAAGAGTATATAAGTTGTTATAACTTGTCTCTGACCCATTTATCTGCTACCGATGATAAAATATGTTGAAATCAACTTTATTTAAGAGCTAATACACCTCTTCTAGATTTTGACATTTCTTTGTATCAGTTTTAATTTTTCACTATGCGCCCTAAGGTTTAAAAGTTTAGGCCCCTTAGCATCACTGAGTCCAAGATGGCGCTACCGTAATTCTTTTGTACTTTAATACTCTATTCACTTGTGTGTCTTTTGTACATTTCTCTTTATCAAGATAGTAGGCCTAGGTATTTTCAAAGTTAATCGTGGCGGAAAGTAGATAACGTTAGCATATTAACCGTATCTCGCCAGGCTTTCTCTAATATTTTATTGTAAATGTTCTGTCCATATTTGTCACTGACGTAACCACGGCTGTCAATATTTAGATATGTTATAGGAGAACGTTGTTATCGCTCCTCTATCAATTGCCCTTCGCTCAAACACGGCGTGACAGTCGCCACTTCTATCCTCCACATAAGTGCTGTTGGGCGCGTTCTATAAGTGCATTGGCTGATCTTTTGACACTCTGCTTATCTCTGCCGAAGTCAACTTGTTAAAACGGATTTCATTGGTCGATAATCCGCAAGAGTGATGTGTTTGGATTTAGTTAAACATAACATATTACATTTCCTGGAATACATAGCAACGCTTGTGATCTAATTCTACGCGTGCAATAAACATGTATACATGTACGTGTAATATGAATAATGATATCTTCCATATTAAACTCAAGAAACATAGCTGTATAATATAGACGTCGCCATTAGCAACCTATCTTCTGTCTGGACAGAAAGGAATGGCACGCGCCTGCTGCGTATGTACAGGGCGATAACGGTCCTGATTTGATGACGGAGCTCAAAGAGGGATGTTTACAGGATAACACACGGGATCGGAGTGGTCAGTTATATTAGAGTGACCATTTCATAGTTAACTACTCGCGTGCCACTTAGTGTTCCGGATTTGTTTACATGTTCAACAAAGCCAATATAAAAGGCATTCCTTTCACGAAAGATGTGGGACAACAACAGCATAACGGACCATAAGCCATTGATCATCACATTTGTATCAGTAGAGAAAATAGCTCGGGTAACAAACGGAGCTAGAAATGAAACTATAACGCAACCGTTGTTTGTGATCATTACAAATGTAATTTTGGGAATTTACATAATTCATGCTGACCGGAATATATGTAAAAAGCTACCAGACATTACATACATGATCATACATCTTATCTCCCGCCATAAAGTCTCGATGAGAAAAATATATTTATTTAAAATCTTAGAACGCAGCTTTTCGTCGGTTCTGGGGAATTAGCGGCAAATCCCCCACTCTTCTCTCCCTTCAGATACATGCCGTTTGGAGCTCGTATCATTAGCTCAGAATTACCATTAAATTCAAACGTAAAGGGAGTTGGTGTGGTCCCATCCGCCTGGATCGAGTTATCGGGACCAATCGACCAGTATTTGCCGTTCTCGCCCTTCACGAAGTACCCTCCGCCCGGCCCTTGCTCAAGCTGCAACACGTCGTAAGTTGACTTGTTGCAATCGTACTTTGCTTTCCTAGAACCGGAAGTGATCATGGACAGGTAGCCACTTTCTCCTTTCAACACTAGAATTGGTCGGTTTACAACCCTGATCATGAACATTTCCTTTTCTCCTGTGACTTCACTGGCGGCGATGAGAGCTCCCGTCCCTCGGTGACGTAAATATTTCTGATTACTGGCCTTGATCACGGCAGTTCCATCCTTCTGCCAAACGATGTCGAACTGACAATTCTCGTTAGCAGATTTGGCATCAGCAATGATAGATTCATTGTCATCTAGCCGCCAGTATTTGCCATTAGCGGTGTATACCAACCATTTCTTAGTTTTCTTCATGTACTCGATCTGAAATGGAACAAGAACAGATGAGCAAGCATCTAGAATCTCTTATCTCAGATTATTATTCTTCTGATGAAGCACTAGCAAATGGAGCTCAATGTTGTACTTACCTCAATATATGAACAAAGTAAATTTTGACACAGAGATATAAAAAATCCCGCCGAAATTTAAAGTGCTTTTCCGAGCTGAAGATAGAACATATTTATTCTGAAGCGATAAATAGCTCAACAATATCAAACAAGTAAAACAGCATCGTTACGTCAGTGATAAGGTGTGAAAATTGTCGGTCTGATGCCTGTTGAATAGTCAAACTAGTTGAAGGTGTGGTCTGTGCATTATAGTAGCGGGCGGCTACCTCACTGAAGAGCATTAGGCTCACCGCATAGGACGAACATTCTGTTAGAGGGATTTGCTTATGAAACACCCATTTCCCCTATAACTATATGAAGTGTTCACGGGTCAGCTTTATTGTGTACATGATAATGATATGTACCACATGTCACGCTGGAAACTTTAAGTTAAATATTTTGCAGCATTCTTTCTATGCACACAAAAATATGTGGCGCTCTATCTTTTACCTGGAATATCTCCTTGTCGCCAGTCTCCGTCTGGGAAGACAACACCTCTAATCCTTGTCGGATAGACGCTTGCTTGCCGTTGCTAGATACAAAAATAACTTGAAGGTGGCTTTCAACGAGGAAAAACAACTCGTCTCGACTGACAGTCTTATTTCTGGTTTTAAGGACACCCGAACCTGCATACGCTGTCAAATATTTCCCCTCGCAATCTTTAAATGCAAGTCCTGCCAAATCCGAGTCACTGCTGAGCTTTAACTCTAGAGAGAATTTCGTATTCTTGCCATGTTCATCCGTCAAATGGCCCGTATGGGTGAGATAACGGGAGTCAGCTGTTTTAAATGCATATTTTCCGCATTTGAATTCAAGGGTTATGAGAGCTTCCGGTCCCCAAGGCGTCAGCTGAGTACACTGTAATTCATCATTTTCAAGTTTCACGTATCGCTTCCGGTTTATGTTAAAGAAGGTTATTTGCGGATGCATTGCCATTGGGACGTACCAGAGTGAGAGTTCCTCGTCAGAGGCTCCCTTTGCTAAGCAATGGATGTCCTGTTCTGTCCCACCCAGGTAGTAACCATATTTTGTGTGTTTAAAGCTCCACCTTCCAGTTCCGTCGGTGGCGTACTCTATCTGAAATTTCCCATCCTCTCCATGACTTTCACTCGAGCAGGCCACATTTCCGAACTTATCTGCTTCTAGGTAACGTCGGAGGTGACTCCGAATGTACACAGTTTCGTCCTTGTTCAGCTCGAGAACCCATATCTGTTTTCCTTTCAATGATGTCCCAGATACATTGACCTGATTCCCGTAGGGCTCAGCGGTCAGAAACTTCTCCGTCGGATTCTGTAGACCTACTTTCCATTCTAGACGTTTTTCTGAAACCGTCATCGACACTTTCTAGTTGGGAAACTCACACTTACAGCAGTTATTTTCTTATACTCTATTATCATAGGTTAGCAACGCGATTTTCATTGAGACGACATTATGACGTCAAAGCAATTGATAAAAAGATTATGACGTCACAATGAGAATATGCATCACGCTTTCAATCAGGCCCGAGAGCCATAACTTATCTAGCGTCAAACCAAACGTAACTGCGGTTTACTGAGGTATATGAACGAAGTGGGGTAACAAGTTCCGGGGAGGCGAGATAGTCGTATGTGTACCCTATAACTTATCGCTTAAACGATGTTATTTTTTTTATATTAGTCCGTTCTAACATTCGGCATATATCCTCAAGCGCTCGACGTATCTTCTTGAGCGCTCAATTTATTATCTCGAGCGCTCGACGTATCTTTTCGAGCTCTCGACATATTTTCTTGAGCGCTCAACTTATCATCTCGAGCGTTCGAGATATTTTCTTTATTTACTTTATCATAACTCATATACTATCACATGATGGTAAGTAAAATCCGTCGCATCATTGATATATTGGTATAAATAATATAGAAAATTTTGTTATTCATGTCCTAAATGAACACCCGTACCGATGTGAAGATTTTTCTGATAAATGAAAATCTGGTACAATACAACTGAAACATATACAAATACAATATTACAATGTGTTGCCGTGATGAATGATTTGTAACATTCGGAAACGAAGCGATATAAGGCGAATAAGGTGGGTGTTCAATCAATTCAAAGTCACAATCGTTACTGGCGGCCACGGCAATGACAAATTTGTGGAACAACACACCTTTACTGAGTTTCACGCGGCGCTTGAGTTTAGTATTTTCTTAACTTCCTATGAAGTGATGCATAATATGTGCCATTGATTGTTTGTCTCTTTTGCAGATAATCTGCCATCAGAATACTACCAGCATCCCAGAAAACCGATGCCTTTCCAGCTGATGGAACAGTGTTTGCCTTAGTTGGCGGGGGTGAACCAGGATGTTACTATTGTTAAGACTGATCTTTGGCCTCTGGAGTGAAATGATGGACCCACGTTTCATCTAGAACCACAGACCCCTACGGAAGGTTAGCAGTATCTGCCTCTAATTGGTTCAGTCCGCCTGGTGTGCTTCTGATCAACTGTCAGACGTCTTGGTACCCAACAGGCTGAGAGCTTTCCCGTTGCAAGATCTTCACAAGAGAATGGAATGTACTATTTCCTGTGAAATCCTAACTGCACTGGCTAAATATATCTGTAACTCACCTCTCAGGCAAAACAACATTATAGACTATATTGACCATTTCATGGGTTGCAACAGGCCCTCCAGGACAGGCGTCATCCCCAAGGTTCTGCCTTCTACGTTTAAAATTCCGCCGCCTACCTTTTCACTGTTGCATATAAGGGTTATCATCATTCACTGGTGTTGATACCATATCAGTATAGATATCCTTAGGTGCTAGATCTTTCTTATTCAAATAATAGATCACTGATTTTTCATCGATTTTATCCATTTTGAAAAAGTCATCTGCCTTGGTTACTTTAGAGAGCTACCTCTCCGACATAAACTTACCAAATGACACCAATCTTCAGATGTACAGCCCTAATAGTTAAGGAATAGTAAAGCTGAAAAAGGACATCCCTGCTTAACGTCTTCAATACAAAGCTGACAACTTATCAATTAGTCCCAGTAGGTACATAAACCCATTAACAGAATCTGCAATTTATATGTCTAGTATCTGTTTAAGAATCATACATTCTTTCGATTATTTTTTGACATTCAGTGAACCATCCAATAACGATTCACATTTCATCCGGATTTCCATAACACGGCGTGTTTATCTTTCTAATACTTCTTTACAAGTGATCATCGTGTAATCGCCGTCTTTACCTAGCTAGACGTCCCTCAAGGTCATGGTATTTAAAACGACACAGGAGCACTTCGGAATTGAAAATCACTATCTGTATAAAAGTCAAAAACGATTATATTTAATTGATACTAGCGTTGTCCCTTGCTGCTACGAGAGCGTAGAATTGTTCCGGGGTTCAATTAGCTGTGGGGCTATCTCCTCATCAGAACGAAAGCCCCACTGTTTCGGCGTAAGTCCTCGCGTTCTGAGCACGTGGCGAATAGAAGATAGTCATTAGAGCTAATTCTTAATTGCCACACGACCTTTCGAAGAAGATTGATAAAAATTCTGTTGTTTCGTTCGGTTGCTTTGACTTGTTTCTGGTTACAAGTTGTCTGTTAATCTTTACCTGTCTCTCTTACGTTAGTAATTCGTCTGTCCTATCTTGTCCCACAGTAATTAGTTGACTGTCCTCTCTTGTCCGTGTTGTTAGCTTTTTGTCCTATTTTGTCAATGTGTTGGAGTATATGTATTATCATGGCCCGGTAGTTAGTTTTTCATTCTATCTTATCCCGCTGTTATTTGTTGTCTGTCCTATCATGACTCGGTAGTGTTTTTCGTCCTGTCTTGCCCCGCTGTTATTTGTTGTCTGTCCTATCATGACCCGATAGTTAGTTTTCCGTCCTATCTTGTCCCGCTTTTATTTGCGGTCTGTCCTATCATGGCTCGGTAGTGTTTTTCGTCCTGTCTTGTCCCGCTGTTATTTGTTGTCTGTCCTATCATGGCTCGGTAGTGTTTTTCGTCCTATCTTGTCCCGCTGTTATTTGTTGTCTGTCCTATCATGGCGCGGTAGTGAGTTTTCCGTCTGTCCTATCATGGCTCGGTAGTGTTTTTCGTCCTATCTTGTCCCGCTGTTATTTGTTGTCTGTCCTATCATGACTCGGTAGTGTTTTTCGTCCTGTCTTGTCCCGCTGTTATTTGTTGTCTGTCCTATCATGACTCGGTAGTGTTTTTCGTCCTATCTTGTCCCGCTGTTATTTGCGGCCTGTCCTATCATGGCTCGGTAGTGTTTTTCGTCCTATCTTGTCCCGCTGTTATTTGTTGTCTGTCCTATCATGGCTCGGTAGTGTTTTTCGTCCTGTCTTGTCCCGCTGTTATTTGTTGTCTGTCCTATCATGGCTCGGTAGTGTTTTTCGTCCTATCTTATCCCGCTGTTATTTGTTGTCTGTCCTATCATGACTCGGTAGTGTTTTTCGTCTTATCTTGTCCCGCTGTTATTTGCGGCCTGTCCTATCATTTCTATCTATCTTTCTTGTCCTGGTAGTTAGTTTTCTTACCTATCTTGTTACGTTAAGGACAAGTCTTCAGAAGTATAAAGCAAATTTGACGGGAAAAGTTACGATTTGGTTTCAAAAACAAATCCATCTCGGTGATGACTTGGTCCAGTTAATAATTGCAATGGGATTTAGCATTAAATAAAGTACCTTGATATCTAAACATATGTTATATCTTCAGTACACTTAGTTTGTTTTCAAAAAGTATTTGAGTACAAGATTTGCTAAGAAAATTTGTATTATGTTTGCTTTCAGGGTTATTTATCGAAACATGACATTTTAATGAAAAGAAAAAAGAAAGAAAAAAAAAACAAAAAAACAAAAAAACAAAACAAAAACAAAAACACATACAAAATTATTCAACTGATTCAAACGCCATGCGATGTATGTCATCAATTTACATACATGTATGAGATAACATTACATGATATAGGTACAAGAATATGCAAACCTCGTGGTAAGTATATTAATATCCTTTCGACATAAAATCTCTGCGTTAGAGTGTACATTTGGTCGATCATTTTGATGAACACAGACAAGAGCAGTTCCACCATACCGCACATTGTGAGACATCCCCCCACCCCCGCCCCTTCTCTTTTGACAGTGTCGTGAGATTTGGTACAATGTAGTTCCATTCGCAGTTCCATGATCTCGCTTTATTACCTTGTGACAGGAGAATTCCACGAAAGCGCGGCACAGGGTGTCAAAACAGAAATTAAGTGTAGGTGTTTGAGAGACGTAAGACTAAACTACAAAGTCTGCAAGTAAAACGGAAGTTGCTAGTCGTTATGAGGATATGCGTCTGGAGTGCCGTTTATTTGACGAACCGGGGTCAAAACTTCTTGAATCACTTGCCGATGTGACGATTTTAACTGGCCACGGACATTACTATTATGATATTCTTTACTTATCTGTTTCAGCTCAATAAAACTATTTAGTATCCTACAATATATATTACAATTATTTGCCTCGTTTGTCGGTGGGAGCACCGTGTTAGGACAAGAATTCGCGTGGGCCTGTATGAGACCCTGCGGTCGGAAGGGAAACCGATTTATAACTTGCCCTGTGATTTGCAGAAGCTATGCGATTTTTACTTTTACAAACTTGTCAGTGTAAATACGTAACTTTCTTTTACACAGTCAATTCATTATCTGCCAAAAAAGTAATAATAACAAATACTTGCTGTTTATATCTGAGGACCAGTCCGTCACGCGAACAATATTTTTTTTCCGTTTTTTGTGAATATTATAGGGCGATGAGCAAAAATAACATATAGCTTAAAAGCGGATTTATTGGACAGTCTCCTTGACAATAAAAAAATCTTAGAACCATAGACTGCTTAAATGTTTCGATATGAGCAAAATCCCGAATCGATGCTGAATTCAAAAGTTCGCTCAACTTTGCTAAAGGCTCATAATTACTAATGAGCATCAAAGTTTCATATCAATATTGTAACAAATTGTGAATATTTCTGAGGTTCGCGTGGTACTTGTCCAGGTCAGATTTTCTTCACAAAACGGTGACTGTGTAACTTAAAGTGAGTATGTACGACTATATACGGTGCACGGTAGTGAGTTTTAGTGATCGCAGTCCCTTTATTCTTACTACTGGTCACTTTTCTCATATTTCTTGGTCCCATTAATGGGTTGTTCGTTCTTCTTCTGTACATTTTGCTCTTTATTTTTTTTATGACGAACGCGTGTCAGTTTTTAATCTAATTTTATTTCAATACAGCTGTAACTTATAACGACAAAGCATGACACAGTGAAGGTGTTCTGAAGTTTTCATTTCTTTCACTGTTGTTTTTCTTAGATG